ATGGAGGGGAGCCGAATCCGACATTAATGATCGACAACTCAACATGCATGCATGCATGCCACACGAGGACCTAAAAAATTATTTTCAATAACTAAATAATAAAACACATGATATTTTCAATCTTTTAACATATTTAAAGCTCTAATATACAATTAAGGTGGATTTGTACCTAATCTCTTGCTGATGAATCAAAATTCATGAAATATTGCAAGTGGACTATCTAACGCCAAATCTGTTAAAAAAAGAAGAAGAAGAAATGTGCATGCATCAACGTAATTAATATTATAATTAGACTTATCCGTACTTTAAAAAAATCCCCTATTCTGTCTTACTATCAAGTCATAATTCATAACTTCATATATTACGATTTCTTCGTTTAATTTATTTGTCCTATTTTTTTAAGTCTATTTTTAGATATAGAAAAAGTCTGTTTCCCTTTTAACATAATTTGAAAATAAAAAATTAACGAGAAACAAAATATCATAGTCAAAAATAAAAAATCACATCCCATTTAGTTATGGTTTAAAGAAGGATTATAAGAAAATTTAATCAGCTAGAAGTATTTTAACAATGGATTATTAACTGGAGATTATCGACACATTCCATGGCTAATCTCATGTTTTTTTTAGTATAATAACTCTTTAATTTTAACTTTTCATATCATATGTTTAAGGCATAAGATTAAAGGGTGTTTTGATACATTTGATATATATATCTTTAGTTTTAGACAGTAAAATTCATAAAAATTATTTACTTTTTAAAATTTTATATCAAATTAAGTATGACAAATAAATTAAAACGAAAGAGAATATATGAATTGAATGATCATTTTCTATAGTTTCACAAAATGTCACGTTTAATACCTGACGGTATATTTTCTACATTCTTTTGAGTTTTGAGAAATATTACAATCATGCACGTGTATTCTTTTTATTTTTCAAGAGCTCGCCGGCAATAATGATGTTTATGTAATTAATAAAGTTGTTGCATATAGTAATGAATTGTATATCAACGAGGGCGGCAGTGGAGTGGTAAGTAATTTTTTACTCTTAATTAACTAAGAGGTCTTGATTTCGAGTTCCTTTGAATACGAAATTATCTTTGTTAGGGAAGCGTTTTATTCTTAAAAAAAATCTTTAATTAGAGGTATAGTTTACTAAAATAATCTTGTTAATGATGTTTTGAAACTTTAAGTTTGTTTATTACTACTTAATTATGCAGTTATCTTGATTTCATAAATTGGACAGGTAAATTGAAATAATTATTGGCAAAAGTATTCATTACCCCCCTGAACTTGAAGCTTTTTATACGGTGTACACCTAAACTAAATTTCATTTTAATTACCCCCGAACTTGTTTATTCCTCCGTCGCGTACACCTTATTGTCCACCTGGCGTAGAAATTGACAACACACTCTACCAGGCGCGTGAGGAAGTGATTTTTTGCCACATCATAATGCTACAACGGTAAAAAAAATGTAAAATCTTTATTTTTTTAAATATTTGGCATATTTTAAACGAAAAATAGGGCAAAATGTAAATGAAAAATAAAGGAAACAAAGATTAACACTTACTTGGTAAGAATTTCAAACAAATTTGAAATTTAATCGACCAACTTCACGTCTAGAAAAATCCAAATCCAAAAATAACTTTTAAACAATGAATAAATTTAAGAAGAACTATCCAATGAATAAATATTATTCCCAACAATAAAAGTCTTGTGCTGGCATTTAATCTGAGTTCTCCGGTACTAAATATTAATTTCTTGAAGATTTTCGGGTTTAGTCCGAAAGTTTTAGTGAGAAGTTTAGTCCGAAAGTTTTAGGTGAGAAGGTTTGATATTTATTTTTGCCATATTAATTTATCTAGGTGGCTATTATTTATCCAGGTGGAAATCCACGTCACCACTTTTGCCAGTTGTCGCGTGCGTGTAGTCACAATAGGAGCAGGTGGACAATAAAGGTGTACGCGACGGAGGAATAAACAAGTTCGGGGGGTAATTAAAACGAAATTTAGTTTAGGTGTACACCGTATAAAAAGCTTCAAGTTCAGGGGGTAATGAGTACTTTTGCCATAATTATTTTTAGTATGAGGGCAAGTAATATGAAATGAAGGGAGTACGTACATTGTAAACCACGGTACTCCCTTCATTTCAACTTGTTTGTCAGGTTTTGACTTGGTACAAAGAAGACTTTTGTATCTTGTGATCTTAAAAATATGTAGAATGTAGCAAAATGTCATATAATCTTGTGGTTCTTAAATATGTCATGTAAAAAATTAGAATTAATGAATTACCAAAAAAGAAAAGGAAAGAGACTTTCTTTTTAAAACAAACTGAATGAGAAGAATATTAGCAATATAAGAGTTATTAATATATGGATAAACATAGTTAAAAGATTAAAAAAAATGTCCCTAACATACCAAATCAAATGGTGAATAAAGAATAATCCCAACACAATTTATTCTATCACTATTATTAATCACAGTATTATTAATACATTCTTATACAATATACCAAACGACCTCTGAATATCGTAGAGAGGCGACCTTGTGGAAGGGGGTCGTTACCAAAGGTGAACTAGTATTTTGTTTGGCTCGATGTCGACATACCAATTGCCAAAAAGAGATTATAGTATCACAAAAATAACTATTCTAACACAAAAGGTCTTTGATCTATCATAGAATAAAAAGTTAAAAACATTTTATATGCCCATTTGTTACTTGTTCTGATAGTTGGTCACTATCAATTCTGATTAGACCTAATAATTCATGATCTTCAAAGTGATAAACATGCAAATGATGATGCAATCAATTAAGGATTATATTAATTAAGGTAGAATATTCACAATATTATTTAAATTTATTATTTGAAGGTATAATTAAATTCAAGATATTTTTTTTTATATTTTAGACTTGGTGTAATTTTATCCACTTAGGAGATGGGTGTGATAAATTAGTCCAAAAGGCCAAAATTATAATTTCGAAATAACTTTATCTGCAAATCAAACGATTTATGATACTCCCTCCATCTTGAATGTTGTTTTTCTCTCATGTTAAATTATATAAATTTGAGAAGTATTACAATTTATAGTACCTTTTCTACAGTTCATAGATATGTAAATTTTAATTTGAAATATTAAATGAATTTAATTTTATTTATCTCTAAAAATTATTAAATTATTTTTAAAAAAGAAAACGTGATAGATATTTTGGGACAGAAGGAGTAAGTGATAATACTTCTAGATGACATCAACATAACCTTTTTTTATATATATAAATTTATTTATTTTTAATTTTGGCATATATTTAATTGAAAGTCTTCTATTGATTTGTCTTTGGCTTATATTACTCTCCCTCCCTTCTTTGAATTATTTAAGAAAATAAATCGTAAGTAGGGCAGGTGGAACAACGAATGAAGAAATTTCATATATAAGGACTTTTAATAAACATTTAAAAAGCATTAGGTGCTTAGTTTCAAATTTATTCTATTGGCTTACACTCATAAGTAAACTAAAAGAAAATATATTTATTATTAAATATTAAGGAGAATGAAAATTTATTCAAAAGACAGCTCAGATATTTAAGGCCATGATATTTGACCCAAAATATTTTAAAGAACTTTTATAGTAGCCATGGGCCATGGCTTGTACTCTCTGTTGTTGATCTTCTTTTTTTTAAAAAAAAAAATTATTAATAGAAGATAGCTAGACACATTATTTAATAGTATAAATTTGCAAATAAATAAATAAATACACGAAACCAAACATAACCATTTCCTACTTTGCAAAGTAACTTTTTAATTTTCACCTAATTCATGATTTAAAATTATAATAGTTGCAAAATATAATCTCTTGTATGATAAATTCATTCATTTAATGTTATTTTTATGAGATAGTACAATTATTATTTGACTAATTATTTTTATTCTTCTTATATTGCAATCATATGAATTCATGTCAAGCATGCTGGTTGATTTAAGATTAATATTGGTAGATGAAAATAAAAGAAATTAAAACTACACATAAGGTATATGAATACTTGCGTAAGGTTTGACCCAAAACATACGATATCACATTTTTTTCTATGGAGATTGGAGATTAGAGAAAACACTTCTAGAAACGTCATTTCAAATTTAATTTGTTATTTCCTCCTCATCCTCCAATACTCCCAAACCCCACCCCCGACCTCCCATATTTTCACTCCATAAAAAATTTCCAGATTATATAAAAATGGTCTTTGTTAGGGTTTTATCCTGATTTTCTTACCATATTTTAGTTATTTTTTAAAGGAAAGTCAAAGTATTATCATAAAAAGAGATTTAAGATTAATATTGATAGATAAAAAGAGAATGAATTAAAACTACATATAAGATATATAAATACTTGCATAATGTTTGACCCAAAACATACGATATCACATTTTTCCTCTGGAGATTGAAGACTAGAGAAAACACTTGTAGACACGTCATTTCAAGTTTAATTTGTTATTTCCTCCTCACCCTCCAATACTCCCAAACCCCACCCCGACCTCCCACATTCCCACTCTATAAAATTTTCCTAGATTATATACAAATGATCTTGAGATCGAATAGCATCTTTCTTGCTTATCAATCAAATCCCACAAAATAAGTAACAAAGAAACCCCCACTTATTTTCCAAAAAATATATATTTTTATTTTATACCAAACACATCTTGTATCTTTTTTGGTAAGTGATTCTGACAAGGCCATCCCACTTGCTAATATACAAAATAGTGCCATCTCTACTTTATTTCTCAAGTATATTCCCACCACAATGCAAAAAATGTGTTCCAATCCAAGTCAATGCTTTATATTTAATCTTTTTTGCTTCAATGGATAACATTTCCACTTTCTTATTAGTTTCTTGGATTATATTATTTTATTAACTATTATGGGCTTCTTGAATACTTCAACATATAATATATACCCCTTTTTATTTCTACTCATTCATTATACACTTAGGTGGAAACAAGTTTGAAAAAAATACTATACTAGCTTCCTTTGTTCATTCAATGGCCAAAATATATCCAGAAACACTCAAGAACTCTTCTTCTTCTTCTTCTTCTTCTTCGTCTTCGTCTTCGTCTTGTTATGTGACATCCACAAGAGAAACATTTACTATATGGATGAAATCCCTAGTGTATCATGGAAATGGTTGTACTGTTTTTAATTCTAAAGGTGATATTGTTTTTAGAGTTGATAACTACCAAGAAAGAAATAGTAATGAAGTTTTCCTCATGGATCTTAGTGGACAAGTTCTCTTCTCTATTAAAAAAGAGGTAATAACAAAAAAACTTACTAGTGTGTCCTTTTTCCGGTTTAGTTTCTCATATGGTGTTCAGTATTCACTGGGACATGATTAAATGGGAATTCCCAAAATCATTGGCATAGTTAGAGTAAACATAGCTTCTTGTTAAAGACGATTTCATTTTTAGGACTTAAACTTGGGTTAATTAAGTTTAATTTTAATTAATTATATTGTTTTGAACTTTGTTATATTTTTTTTCTACAGAGACTAAGATTACTTGGTAGGTGGAGTGGATATTTAAGTGGTGGATTTAAAGGAAAGCCATGGTTTCAAGTGAGAAGAAATTGGAAGTATTCAAAAGGAGATGTTATTTGTGATGTAAATTTAGGGTGTGATAAATCTATAGGAAGTTGCTATAAGATTCAACAAATCGACAAAAAATCATCATTTAAAATCTCAAATAATACTGGTCAACTTGTCGCAAAGGTAATTATTCAATTCAAAGAATTTATTTTGAGTATTTATAATTAAACAACATTATACTATATTTTTTCTTGTTTTATTAATTAAAATTGTGTATATTATATAGGTAAATCAAAAGCAATCATCAAGAGGATTTGGGTATGGTGATGATGTGCTAACTCTAGAAGTGGAACCTCAAGTTGATTACTCATTTATTGTGGCTCTTGTGACAATATGTGGTTTGATTAAACACAAATTATAAAGAGCACAATTAGTCTAAAATTGACTATTGCAAGATATAATCCTGAAAATTCAAAATTCATGGTCTCCTCAATATACATGAACCATGAAATTTCAAGCGGGCGCGAATGCTATCGAATGGAAATTTTTCATTTTTCAGTTCAAAATCCGATTTGAGGAAAAAAAAAAGTTCTAGGTCAAGGTAGTAGCACGTGTGGTACAACATCAGTCCCTTGATCTCAGTGCAATATGTGAGACTTAGTCAAGAGATCGATCTGAAGATACCGATAAAAAAGAAGGAAAGAAGGTGGATATTACTTTAATTCATGTTGAGCTTCATGTTCATTTTGGGACTTCTGTTGACTCAAGGCCCATTAAAACCCAGCCCACTGGCCCATACTTCATGGTTTGACAATTTTGCGTATATGTTTTCATGTATAGTCTATTTAGTTGATTAATTCATTTATAATACAAAGTTTTGTACTGTTACGAGTTCATTTGGGTTGACTGATTAAAAATAGTAGACTAGTTTCAAGTGTAAAATACTGAAATTTATTTTATCAATAAATAATTATGCGTTTAGATAAAAAAATTGTTGAATGTGATAAGAATCAATAAGTGTGTTCAACACTTTTTTCTAAAATAGATGAAATACCCTTAATAACAGGGTGAAAGCAAGATATAAAAGGAGCTACGGATTTTATTTTGGACATGATATTTTGGTTGGAATTACAAAAAATATTAGCGATTATATCGTATAGTAAAAAGTTTGGTCAAACAATAAATACGCTTATAAATATCTTGATTCATTCGTTGCATTCATCCAGTATGCATGTGCCAAACACCATCCACATGGTGTGACTAATAAGATGATTGAATGTCCAGGTGAATGTATATAAGACTAGATATTGGTGCGTGTGTCAGCACGAGCTCAACATATGTCATTATTTTTATCTCAATTTATGTGATATAAACGAAATTTGAAGAATCAATCAATTTATATATATATATTAAAGCTATTAATTTATTATGATTTTTGCGTCATTTTTAAATAATGTATGTTACTTTTCATTTCAATTCACATGAATACTCATAAATATTTTAGTTGTTTGTTTATTGTGAATTTTGTAACTTTTAATGTCATATTCAAATATTATATGATACTTCTTTTGTTTCAATATAAATGGTACATATGAAATTAGAGAGCAAACCAAAAAAATTTCAATAGCTAATTATTGTGATTTATAATATCTTTTATATAAATTTTAATAATATATGTTACTCCATCTATTCATACTCATACTGATAAAATTTCAAGAATGAATTAAACCTTTGATAATGAAAAGAAAATTGGAAAAAAGTGAAATAAAGAGATACAAGGAGCCCACATGAATGAAAAATGAGCCTACTTTTTCGGTTGAAGTAAAGCAAAAAGTGAAATATGAAATGACTTTTATGTCCTATAAAGAGAAAGTGCAATTGTAAAGCAGGTATAATATTGTTTCAACATAGTATTATAAAAATTCCAATATTGCCCCTGGCTAGGGAAGCATGCATATTGACCAAAAACTGTTTACCTAGCCTCTTATACTATATAGTACTCCCTCCGTTCTATTTTATGTGAGGTAGTTTGACTCGATATAGAGTTTAAGAAAGAAATGAAAATTTTTAAAACTTGTGGTCCAAAATGAATGAATAAAAATTTTCCTATGTCCCATTTTATGTGAGGTAGTTTGACTCGACATGGAGTTTAAGAAAGAAATGAAAACTTTTAAAACTTGTGGTCCAAAATGAATGAATAGAAATTTCCCTCCGTCCCATTTTATGTGAGGTAGTTTGACTCGACACGGATTTTAAGAAAGAAAGGAAGACTTTTAAAACTTGTGGTCCAAAATGAATGAATAAAAATTTGTGTGAATGTAAATCATTTCATTAAGGGTAAAATAGACATTTTATAGTTAAATTGCTACTTAATATAGAAATGTGTCATTTTTTTCAGGACTGATTAAAAAGGAAAGTAAGTCACATAAATTAAGATAGAGGGAGTAGTAAATAACACATGATAAAATTATTCCAAGTCTTAAAATCACATGCAAAACCTTATTCACATAATAATATCTTCTTATTGACAAGCTGCTAGGGCCTTTTAATTTATTTTACTTTTTTAAAAAACTAATAGGGGCTTTCTATCGTCATTGCAAATCAAAATTCTAATATGTTAGAAAAATAATTAAATAACTATTTTTATATATTTGAAAATAATTAAATTACAATTTTATCTCTACTGTTATAATATAAATATCTCAATTTTTCTTACTTGTATCCGACTACACATATTACTTTTATACAAGAATTATCACGTCTATTCTCCTTCAATCAGCAACTTTATTCATCAACTCATCAAGAATTATCATATCTAGGGTGATAATTTAGCGAGTTAGGTCAAATTTTGCTGGGTCATAATGAATCAAAATATTACTCCCTTCATTTCACAAAGAATGGTCTAGTTTGACTCGACATGGAGTTTAAGAAAATAAAGAAGACTTTTGAATCTTGTGGTCCTAAATTAAATTTATGTCAAATGTACAAAATTGCCCTTTAATCTTGTGGCCTTAAACATGTCACGTGGAAAATTGAATTAAAATGTTACCAAAAAACGAAAGAGGTCATTCTTTTTTAAACAGATTAAAAAGGAAAGGAGGTCATTCTTTTTTAAACAGAGGGAGTATAAATTATTAACAAGATACATAAAATTAATTACAAGTACTTTTACATGAAAAAAAAAGCACAAATGAAAACAAGATATAAAAGATTAAATGTTTATAAGATAGTATGATGTGACAAATAAGGTGATTTAGATGTTTATAAGTTAAACACATTATACAATTATTCCAAAGTCTAAAAATCACATGCAAAACCTTCTTCACATAATACCTTCATATTGACAAGCTAATAATGGACTTTTAATGAAAATAATAATTTGGGGTCTGAAAAATCTACAAACAAGTTGCTACAAGATTCAACAAACTGACAAAAAATCATCATTTTGAATTGTTAAAAAGTGATTATACTTTTGACCTTTTTCTTATTTATTTTTTAAATTATACTAGCTATTTTGTTTTATTTAATTTGATATATTAATAGTGAAAAGTTCAAAATTCATTTTGATCCTCCAATGGTCTTCTTTCTTTTTGGACCTTCTGTCAACTCAAGGCCACTTTAGACTTGGCGCCCACTATACCAAGTCCAATTAGCTTTGTGATTAGATATTTATGTGTTTTGACAATATATATATATATATATATATTCAAGTACGGTCAAATCTTTTTATAACGACAACGTGTGTTTTGACAATTTTGCCATGTGTACTAGCATTTTTGACGATGTTTAAACTTCATTTAGTTGTTATAAATAATTAGTTTAATGATTGTGTATCAAGAAGAAGTAATGTATTTGCTACTGTAATTGATATAACCAAAACAACATAACGAGTACGAACATAAAAATAGCAAACATCTATTGCCTTTTTTCGTAAAGTTATGACCATAATGAATGAATATCGTTTAAATGCAACTTTTTTTCTTTTAATATATGTAATTGAAATACACTATGTGCATGACAATTAATGATATATGATTATATAATAATGAAAGAAACAAAAACAATCTATTATTATTTAACAGAAATATTTTAGAATTTTGAATTAAAATTATTTAAATTTCTATATTAATTAATAAAGTGTTTACAATAACATCCAAAATAACGTATTACAATCATGTAGTTAATATCTTATAAATTTGAATTAATCCTTAATATTATAAAAGATAATATTACTATGTGAAGTTGATCACTCATTTTATTGAAATGCTCTAATTAAATATATTAATATCAAGACAGGATGAGAAGATTCCATTCTCATATGTGCATTGATTTTTTTTCTAGTTCATTATAATTCAATCTTAGTTTGAAACATGACAACATTTAAGATAAAAACTAAAACTTATCCGACAGATATGTGTTATCCTCTATCATTGCGCTTAGAAAATCGTAAATTTTTTTTGTCTTTTATAATTTAAGTTGTTTAAAAAAAACCAAAAACATGAGATATACATATGTTTTACTCATATTTTGTCATCCAATTATCATCCGATTCCTCTTAACAATGATGAGAAATAAAATTTAGAATACAACTATGATGGAATCAATCCTATAGGAAATATAGTTAAAAATGAGGATAATATAATTATTTAAAATTGTAGCCAGTTATGAGAATGGACTAGAACTGTGTTCTACTTGATTTCATAAGATCTATTTCGATACTTAGTATACAAAATTAATTAATTTGATTTTCCTAAACGTTTTTCGACCCTAATTAAGTTAAGAATTAAGGAAAATCATCAATATCTTTAGGACATCCTTTTCCTTCTTGTTATCTTCACTAGTCTCTTTTGCATAGACTTTTTAGTAATACGAAAATTTGGCCTATTTACTACTCTAATTGGTTGATGGTGGAATAAAAATTAATCAACTGAGTCACATTAGAAATATCACTATTATAAGAGAATGATTTGAATAACAATTGAGCTAAGTACACACTACTAATCACAAAATGATTTTAATTTTATCACCCTTGCTATTTTCAAAGAGCATTCGTCACTTTTTAATTTGAAATGTGGATATATAGTAAACAATAATTAAATAATTGTGTAGAAGCACATTAATTAAGTCTCATTGTGAACGTACAAACACAAAACTATAGCCACCATGCTAATAAGACAATTTCCCATAAGAATAAGTAATAACCAAATTGCCTGTTGTGGTCCTTACTGACTAACTTAATTAAATGATAATTATTTTGTTATTACAATTAAAAAGTCACTAATTGTGTTAAATTTAATCCAATAACCTATGGGGTCACTTCGCTGGTGAACAAGTATAATTGGAATAATAACGATGGAATTATAATATAGGAGGGAAATTTCAGTAACTTGGTTGGTTGATCAAAACTTTTATCTTGTTGACGAGGGTTCAAATTATAACAAGTTTTACTTTTTATTTTTGAAA